TCTCATTTTGACATCTCACATGTTTGACAGATATGGTCGCCAAACCATATCCTAATGAGGACACAGATGGATATGGATTTGGTCTACTAATTTCGCCGGCGGTTGGCGACAAAACTGCGACATCTCGCAACCAAATTGTTTGCTGGGTAAAGGATAATGTGAACAACTATTTATTTTTGCTGCTTAGCAACGATATAATATCCGGCTCTACTCATGAAACTAGCACTTCGTTCGGCTCGAGCATTTCGAACACTCTTGCTGCCCCTTTTTTTTTAAACAGTGCCAAGTTTTAGGCGATTTTTGGCGATCGTGATACATATACCAAAGTGTACCAAACTATAATTTGAAGTCACTCAAATTATAGTTTGGTACACTTTAGTATATGTACCATACGATCGCCAAAAATCGCCTTTTAATACAGTTTACTAAAAAAAGTTATATCAAAGGTATTGCCGGCACGAATAACGCAAACCACTACCGTGCTTCGAGATTCTCTCTTTCTCTCTCTAATTCACACTTCCTGTCTTTCTTTCTTCTTCGTCTTAAAACGCGTTCGTATGTATAGTATGTCATCTGGCAGCATACGAACATGCACACAATTTGATTGCACGATGACTACGCTTCTGAATCATAAATTTTTCACTTTGAAACTTTAATCGTCGTATATCTCGGAAGATCAGAAACAAACAATAAAAACGCAAAAATACTTTTTTTTTATTTTTTCAACGTGAATCAAACGAGACTAAAAAGAAGTCGATCGGTTCAGTCGTTATTAAAAAATGGCTGATTAAAAATTTCTCCTCCATTGAAATGCCTATTTTTGCGTATAAGAAGCATGAGTACCTCGTACCGTTCGAGCGCGACTTCGTTGCGCGTGAACTTGGCGCGAGGCATTATCGTGCATCTTGAGAAACACGCCACTAGGTAAGAAAAAGGTGATTCAGTCGAAGTGGCACCACTTTTGGAACCCGAGAAGCGGGTTGCCGCTAGGCAAATTCATCGCCGATGTAAATGGATTCGATTACACACGCGTAAAATAGAAGGTTAACAATTAAAACAGCACGTTATGCGATAAAACACAATTTTATAAAATAATAAAATTCAAAAATCTCTCAGTCTTCCCGTTTTTCTTACCACGCCTTGCTCTTGATGTACCCGATGATGTGCCAACAGAAAAACAAGGGCACGGTCGCCAGCCATATCGTCGTCTTACGACCGATCTTATCCGCAAGTAGTTTCGTCGATATAACAACCGGTATAGCACCGAGAAGAGTCAAGAGTCCTCTTGATCGCTGATTAATAGTGATGTGTTTTTGTAAAGCAGCAAAGCGAACGATGTCCAGATATGTGCCGATCGAAAACGCAGCAAGCGTTGCTAAAAAAAGCGGATATAACGGACATCGGAGACGTTTTATTTCACGAATATTATTGAGAATTATTTTCGTTAATTTTTCGCATACGTAAATATTTTTACTGAGAAAATTTGCAGATATATAACACTTTTTACTAGTTTTGAACATAGCACTACATGTACAGATTACGTGAATATTTTCAAACACAAAAGTGTCTCAACACTGCGCGAGTTTATTTATCAAAAAATAATCAAAAATCAAAAGAATTTATCTACAAGCACACATATTGCATGCATTTCGAAGTCGGTTGTTCGGCCGATGTTTCCTCATCAATCTGTGCGTTTAAAGGCATATTTACGCGAATTACGTACAGGAAATTAGATGTTTAAAACATTTCACGATTTCAACAATTCGCCATCGAGTGCACGTAAAAGAATATCATTAGGCTTGATAACGCGACTTATTTCGTCGAGTGTCGCGAACTATCTGTCTCCCAATTCGACTTTCTTCGGCCGCTCGACTTATCAGCATGCTCGATTATCTTTCGTAACTCCGCTTACGCAATCACCCGTTTTTAATTATATCTCTTATAAACATTATCTCTGAATTATCGCACCTTCACTCTTGTGTATTTCTCACGATAGTTTACTGAACTATCGGTCAGCAACACTCGCGTGTGAAGTTCGTGTACCTATTCACGAGAGATTGCGTGCGTTTTTGCGCACATTTAAAATTAATATATAAATAATAACAATAATGTTAATAGAGTTTATCAATGACTTATTATTCTTTTTTGTAATAAAACACTTTTTTATTTTGACACAATGAAATGTACAAACACGTACAGTGTTGCAAAATAATTTATTGACGATGATCTCACGAAGTGATGATAATCATACGTAACATTAGTCGTACAAAACCTAAAGTTAGTTTTACGACAGAATATTTTCGAATACGAATCAAGTCTGTTCTTCCGCGTTTCCGCGGGAATACTCTTGACAATTGAACAAACTCGAGAAGCATTCGCAAACTTATTTTGATCGAATTTCCGACACCGATATTCATTATGCGAGTGACGCAAGACACGTATGTTTAATTAAATAAATAAGCTAAGTTATACAATTCGTCGCATCTTTTTGATTGTTTTATAGATTGGGCAACTTTCTTTGCAAATCTAATGCTAAACAAAATCTATGTTTATTAAAGCATATTCTAATTATTCAAAACATTTTTATTCCAACATATTTTTGTATCTTTTTATTTTACACACTAATTTATAATTTAGAAGTGTTTACCTTGCTCCTCCTTTGCTTCTCACGATATCTAATATTCGAAAAACTGAAAATCAACATCGCGCTTCGAACAATTTCGCATCCTAAAGAGACTTTTCCTACGGCGTCAATGGAGCCATCACTTTGCTTCGGGCAGATTGGTCGCTAGGACTCTGAATCCGTTGTGATCGGCGATGTAATGCACCTGCTGCAGGATCCCGTTAGCGTCGATGTAACTGTAGGCGCCTTTGGTAGTGCCATCGAGCGACCTGGACTCGGTTTTCGAGCTGGAATCTCCGGTGTAACTGTAATCGTACTGTCCCAGGGAGTCCTGAGTATGATGAAGCGAGCTGTGAAGAAATCGATAAGGTAACACTGGGAGCACATAGGACGTAGGCATGGTCAGCGGTCTCTGACTGATGTCCCTGGCAAGCGGAACGAACTGCAGGGTGTTCTGAGTGGACGAATGCTCGTTGTCCTTTAGAAGCGTGTTGTCCTTCAACGACGCCGAGGTCGGCCATGACGAGATGATGGTTGTAGAGCTTGGAGTTGCGGCAGTTACCTTCGAGAGACTTGGATCCGGCTTGGGAATGTCGATTCTCTGTGATTCTGATCTCGACAGCAAGAACGGATTCTTGGTAGTCTGAAAACAGAATTCAATACAAAATATTCAAAAATGATCAAATAATTTTATCATGTTTCATTTTTCTTCACTTATTTTAAACTAGCGATAAGTTTGTGTGTTTACTTCCGCTTTCTCTTGCGAGTTCGAATTCAGCTGTTCGGTTTTGCTGTGTTCGTCCCGTTTGATTTGAGCGAAACTATAGTACGGCGGCAGGACTTTGTACGACAGGAGATTCTGATCCTGCCAGTTGACCTGTGACTTCTGCAGCTCGTCAAGGTGATTCCTTTTGGCCGCGACTACTTCTGGTGCATCCTGCGCGAGTTGCATCTCATTACTCTTCGGCGGCTGCGGCAGATTACTCGCCCTGACACGAAATCCGTTCTGATCATCCGCCGTGTACGAGACCGTTTGCAGAATTCCGTTCGCGTCGATGTAGGAATATCCTGCGAACAAACGAGATACAATAATTAAAAACAATTGTCTTTCTGTCATATGTTGTTGTACAATAAAAATGATATTGCACGCAAGATGTAATTGCAGAATACATCTGCAGAATACCAAGTGGCTATATTCAATTTTTCAAAATCTGAAGAGACAAGCATTTTGCACACAGGCCGGTTAGTTAAGCGTTATAAATTAAGTGAAATAGCAGTAGGTAGATCCTATTTATGTCGATTTTGCGCGTGTCACATACCGCATTATCGCGCATCATGAGTCATCACGTTGCGATCGAGCGATGACGAGCGATTCAAACCACCGCGCATTGTCATTCGGAAATTTGCAGGGATGCGCGTGCATGGGCGTTCTCTCTTGCGTTATGCATTTGCAGCGTGCATTAGTGAAAGATTTACTCGCAAGCGTGTGGGCCGGTAATGCATCTCTTGTAACACACTTCGCAAAAGCATGCATTCCATTGGCAAGCATGTGTGTATGTTAGGCGAATCGCGGCATGATTACTGCTATTGGATTTCGATTTGAGTTTTTGTAGATATTTTTTTTTTTTAGATACCTCAGAAGTTCTGCCGCTAGCTTTGTGCGACGGGAAATTCTTATTTAACGTATAAAAATTCGAAAAAATCCAACGTACAAAAGATGAGTTCAAGCAAATGAATAAGAAAAAAATAAAAGGAAAGATCAAATTTATTGAAAAAGGAGATAAAGTGAAAAACTTACCGCCTTGCGTTATTCCGTTCAATGTAGACTCTGCTTTGGCATGATGTGGTCCGATAAAGGAATAGTGATAAGATCCCGCCCCATCTTGCATGTGAAATTGTCTCAGCGGCGAGAGAGACGCTATCGGACTCAGCCAGACATTCGCGATTGGTGAAGCGAAAGATTGCGCAACGAGAGCGCACAAAATCTGAAAATTGAAACAATATATATTGTTACGTATATTAAGAATAGTATTTTATATTATATATTTATAAAACTTGTACATGTATATTAATCGCGAGCGCAAAAGTACTTGCAGTGCAATGTACTTTTTTCGATCGCAAGTATTAGAATCAATTTTGCGAAACGGTCCAGCGAACAATCAAACGCGTTAAATTATTTCCAATTTTTTTGTGCAAAACAAATTATTTCTCAAAGCGCGTGATTGCGGTCCTCAGTTCAATCGAGAACCGAGTTACAAAATACAAATAAAAGATACTAGGAGTTTTGTTGTATTAGCGCACTCAATCATTTTCAAGAATCGATACATTTATGACTTATCTAGAATATATCGCAAATCTGGAATACTCACGAGTAACATGATTGCCTCGAGTCGGATCAGGTCGCCGAAACGTAAAGAAACTGCGACTGATGAATCGCGGATGATTGTCACTTTTATCGCTTGTCCAAGATACTTCCGGTGAGGGTCTTGAAATACGAGATTGTGCTCTCGGTTGCGCATCCTCTTATATAGGATTACGTGCATGCGCCGCGCGCGGATCTTACGGTGGTTCCCCACCCAGCGCTGCGCGTCGCGGACCTACGGGGCGCGGAAAGCGCGCGCTGCTCACCACCGTAGGGCCCCTTTCCGAGGGAGCGCGCGCCAGGGCCCTCGGTCACAAATCACCCCGAGTTCGATTTCCAAGCCGATAAATCAATGTTTATTGGTACCGAGTTGCGAGCCGTCGATCTCGCGCGCATTCCGGACACCGCATCCGCCGAGAGAGAGAAGATGCACCTCGTTTTTTACTGACGTGTTCCGCGCACGCATACATCCCGTGTAATATAAGAATGCGCGCATATGAGATTGCAAAAGGGCGATGTCGCACAACGAAAGATAATTCACGCCGACCATGTTTTTTTAGATCCTTGCGCTTCGCAGCGATTATTGCGGACTTCAGTGATCGAGATATAATACGTAAGTCGTTCTCTTGCTTAAGTGATAAATATTTACAAAAACGGACCACCTCGGAGGTCAACGACCTTAATATATGTTGTCAAGAACATCTTTCCTGAACAGCAATCAGAAGGTTTTAGCCTCGCTCGTTGTTTATTAAAAAGTTATATAAACAAAAGAAGTTTCATAAATAATCTCTTATTTTCTGACACCATGTACATTTTGTTCGTGTTGTAAGCATGTTGGCGAAGCCCCCCTCCCCTACAACACGAACAAAAAGAACATAAACAAAGTAGTCTTGTTAACAGACCTTGTAGCTTTGTTTGTATTTCTCGTAAAAATTACTGCGGAAACTTTATTGAAGGAGATAAGAAACCACATTGCTCCTGGATCTATCATACACAATGACTGTTGAAAGGCATATAATAACATCAATACGTACAGTTACATTCATCATACGGTAAATCACAAAGCAAATTTATAGATCCTTATACCAATTGTCACACGCAAAATATTGAAAAAATTTGGCGAGATATGCGAAGTAATATTTCGCGTTTTGGGACATCGATAGAACATTACACATTTTATATAGCTGAGTTTTTCTTCAAACGTTACGTAAACAAGAAACGCATAGACAAATTTTTCACAAAAATGTCGGAAATATATTCATTAAATAATATTGAATTGCGAACTAACGAATAATATTTATAATGTATTACAATAACAACAAATATGACATTTGTAAAATATTACCAAATAATAAAGAAGAACAATGATACAAATCGTACATGATGTCAAAAAATAAGAGTTTATTGACACAACTTCTTTTGTTTATAACTTTTTAACAAACAACGAGCGACGGCTAAAACCTTTTGATTGCTGTTCAGGAAGGTGTCCTTGACAATATATGTCAAAGTCATTGACCTCCAAAGGTGCTCCGTTTTTGTAAATATTTACCTTTTTTCTTACCTGTCAAGCAAATAGAGAGCAGCTTAAAATGTGTCCTACGCGTGTATATGTTGGTTGATTTGGTTTTGGTATTACTTTTACTCTACTGTAATTAAAAAATCGCGCGCACCCACCGGCGTGCAAAGTAAGATTAACCGCGTCGAGAGAGATTCAACCAGCTTGTTGTGTTGCTCAGTTTGAAAAAAACATGAAAAGCGCGATATCTCTTCGGCAAATAATAGAAACGAACGCGAATGCAATTAACGGACGGCAGGAATAAAACGATACCGGACGATGGCGAGAGAGCGGCGCGGGACCTCTTTAGGAATGGTCCAGAACGGCCGCAGGGACTCCCTGCGAGAAAGAAAGGATTTTCTTCTCGTCTCTTCTCCTCTTCCGATCGCATAAATAACACGCCGCGAATTTACGGCCGGCTCGCTTAATCCGACGATGTAAGCGAGCGATATGAGCGTAACGAGTTCATCAATTCCGACGGAATTGCTCGCGTGTGTTCGCTCGGACAAGTCGCTGTTGAGCACAGTGGTGCTTTTCAGCACCTGAACAAAAGAAAACAAATTTTTGGACAAAAATAAGACTGTTTCCGCAACTTTTTGTTATTTAATAAAATATGTGTAAAATAAACGTTAGTTGTATGTCATTTAATCGAAATTTTGTACTTGTTTCTCTCTTTTAAAGACAGTTATTGTCTCCTGAATATTGAGTCTATTAATTCGCCTACTTATGAAAACTTTTTCTGTAATAGATGTCTTTTTATATAACAGATGATTGAAATTGTTTATTTAATTTCAACAAAATTACAATAGTAGTTAAAATAGCGGAGAAAAAAGCAATTTTTTTAATACAACACCTGTTCGAGAATCGCGTGCATTCTTCGCGGTTAGACTGAAAAGCACCACTGCGCATCTCCGACGACGAGATGAAAGGATTCTATCGCCGGCAATACACGCATAAGTACGTGGGCGGTGTTGCGTTGGTTTTGACATTGGCACTAAACGGCCCTCTTTCTTCTCCTCTCTCATCTCGCATTAAATGATGCTTGTAGAGCTGACTATCTAACCGCGCGCGCCACGGGTACGTGTAACGCAAAACCGAGAATGCCGAGTAAGATCGGCAAAAGACCGGCAATGATCCTAAATCAATTCTTCGCGAAAACAATAGTAACCATCAATTTTCTCGGTACACAGAAAGAGAAAGAGAATTCATATTAATACGATTGTAAGTTTGAAGTACATTGCAATTGTAAGTTTAAATCTTTATACACATACGTATAATTTGTATTTATAAATATATTATCTATTCATATACATTTTATTTTTTTAATCGCTTTCAAGCGATCTATTTTATTTAATAATATTGTCTACTGTTTATTATCTGTGTACAAAATTTAGATTTTTCTTCATTCTAAATAATTAACTCCAATAACAATTAGTGCGGCAGTGTTTTTAGTACAGTCGATTGCCAAAGTTCTAGTGTGTGACATTCTAGAGCGGAATATCTACATACACTTTAAGTACTTAAAAAAATGAGAAAATCGAACATTCGGTATTGCAGACTCAAATGTTCGCGCGCGACGTCTTTATTACAGCGGTTCGTATTCTGCTCGTAAAACTTTTCTCCTGGAATAATCTCTTGCGCGGACCACCGCGCGCTTCAACTCGCTCTGCATCCTCGAGTTTTCAACTTGTAGCGAGACGCGGTTGCGATGTATGTTACACCGAATCGTTCCGCGCAAAACCTGTCGACCAAATCGGACCTGTCCGGTGGATAAGGTCGTAAAGAAAAATTTGTAATTCAGAATTGCGCCGCGGCCTCGTAAAAACGCCCCGTAAATAACGCCCTGTGACATAATAAGATGCGACTATTGACCGGTTATCGGGATACGCATATTTTACGCGGAATAATGCAACGGCATCTTAGCCACGGCGGCTTTGTTTGAATTGTGATACGTATATACGACGACGAGGTTTACGATTTATTTGTATTTCTAATTCAAACCTTTTGGATGCGTGTGTGAACATAAATATTTTACATAAAAAATGTATTTACATCGACCACCAGTGCAGTCTTATTGCATTATTTTGTAAAGTCCTACTATTATTGTAAAACAGAAAACTTGGTTTTTGGCTTTTCGTTAAAAATAGAATTTCTGTCATATTCCCTTGCTATATGTATATGTATATATACATATATATATATACACACATGTATATCGTGCAATTGTAATTCAAATACGGTTCGCGCACTCTCTCGTATTTTTTTGTCGCGTAATGTTCTTCTCGCATTCGCACACAGAATACGTCCGGAGAATATTCGGCTTTGCCTTTTACGGAAAAGCGAATTTTTCTTGCAAACTCGCTTGAAAGATCACTGACTTGCTCGTCGCACAGTGGTGCCTGACAGAACACCACTGACATTTCTCACAATTTTTCTAATATCTCAGAAAACATTGATAAAATCCTATATAAATTGTGAAAAGTAATATAAAAAATGTCTAACTTCAGTATCACAAAATGGAACTTCTTTTTATTTTTGACGTGACGTTTATCGCGCGTAAAATTGCATATTTAATCTGGAAGTTTCCTTTTGCTTCGGCAATATTGTGCGAGGAGATCGTTTGCAATTCGTAATCTCTTTCAATTTGTTGAGATTATATAACACACTCAACAGAGATGTTTTCTGTAAGCAAGTTCGGTCTTGCACCACTGCACTCTGCGGCAAGAAAGCGACGACGCGGCTTTGATTCACGTAAAACGCGACGTTGAATACACACAAATACGTTCGATGCTTCGTCGCACGCACATTCTTGTCATCTCTTCAGTAAAGGTAGTCTCGTACTGCCGGGAACAATCTGATTTACAAGCACGGAGGAGGCCCCGTAAAATCCTTCCCAAAGACTGACGTGTGATCGGTACTAACTCGCGAATCGCATCAATGTCTCCGCGCATCGCCAGCTGCTCACAAAAATTAAATATGTATTTAAATATCACAAAGTATAATACTACAGTTTTGTAAAATAAAGACTGAAAGAACACCGTGTGTGAGATACCCAGATAACCAAAACTGTCGAAACAGATTTTGTCAAATGCTTGTTACAAATTTTGTTAGCAGAAAGACATCAAATATGATGAAGAGTTTGTTTTATCTGGCAATGTTGCACAAAATTGCTAGCAAAAATATATCCAAGCTTGTTAAAAAAACATAACAGCAAATTGCTGGCAAAAACCGAGCAAAGTTTGCACATAATTTGAAATCAAATTGACGCCAAATATGAAGCAAGATCTGCGCAACACGACTTGATAGCAAAATAACAGCAAAAACCGAGCAAGACTTGCAGTTCAGTCAAACTATATGGTATTTAAAAGGCCATTTAATTATATCTTGACTTATTTCTAAATTGTATATACACACTATCTATAATCCATAATATATATAAAAATACTTTTACATTTGAGTATTTAACATATTTTTCCCTATTTCCAATAATTAAATATTAAAATGACATAATGAAATATTTTTTTGGCAAACTAACTATTAGAAAACCTATACGAGCGATGCTAGATGTACGCGCATTTTTTATGTATGTATAAATTTGTAAAGAATTATTATTGACATATATCTGAAATTTATTTCTACAAATTATATACATATACATATATATATATATATATA